TTGAAGAGCGTGCGTGTGGCTACTCGTCGAGACGTTGTCTGCCGCCTCACCACGTGTTGCAGGGCTCATTCGCCGCTACGAGGTGGATGTGTAATGTACCTCGAATTGGTTGCGCGTTATGTCTTAATTTAAAATTTTCGCCAGATTGTCACTGTTAGTATTCTATCGATACTGCTTGCAAAGAACGCGCGGCACGCACAGGCGACGTGCAAACTTGACCTCCGAGTGTACGCGCTAAGGGCCTGACCACAAGCGTTTGTGAAGCGAGTCAGCGCGTGTCTTTGTTGACGCGGCGCCGCGCCCTCTCTCGATGGAGAAACGGGGCGTGCAGCAGCATCGCGCAGCCACGCACCTTCTCTCTCCGCGGTGACAGCGCACGATGCCGCGTGAAAAACATTGGCCTCGAATCTACATGCTACACTGCAAATGTCGTCGAAAGACGATAGTCTCGCGTCTGGAGAGCGTGAACAAAATATTTATTTGATGTGCAAGAAAATTGGTAATTGGTATTCTGGAGGCGCTGCGTTAGAGTGTCTCGAGCGTATAACGGAGGCGAACGAGCGCATCGAGGCACGTTAGACACAAGCGCCATCTGGCATTTATCTTCGAAAACGAAGGAAGGCGTGTGTGCCCGCGGAGAAAGATGCGCGCCTGTCTCGGATCTGATAAGGTGTAGAACGCAAAGCGACGAGTAGGTGGCACCACCGTGCCGTTTTAGCAAAGCGCTGGAAACACTTGCCTTTTTTGAGCGTTGCGTTGCACTGTCCGCGCAGCGTGATAAACGCTACGGTCCTTATAATTACTGGTGTGTGCATTCTCTAGTATAAAGGCACACATAAAGCATCGACGTGTTGTTATGATGCTTCCGATATGAGCAGCAGTTGATTTTCAATTGACGATCGCACAAATATGAACGCTGAAGCTTGAGCAATATTGGTGGGCGCTGCGTATGGGGTTGGCCGTTCAGTGCCTGTTGAGGTATCGTTAAGGAAGGACAAACAGACAAATTCACAGACAGACGCACCAAATTTTTTTTCGTCGCGGGTCCCCAAGAAAGGCTGTCGTCTTTAAAAAAGCCGCGCGCTGACGCGCTGCAACAAGCGCGTTTGGTCAGGCCTTAACGGCAGGGCTAATTCGGTGGCGCCTTCGTTCGGTGCTTTCGTGCGTCTCGGCGAAGCCGCTCGAAAGACGCATTCACGCGTGTTTGTATTCGGTGCTCCAGTGGTTCCTGACGCCTTTTTTAAATTATTTCATTAGGACGCACGTGTATGCGGCTGACAGGGTATAACGCGCCACATCACCTTTCGCGCTAACGGGCAGCGCGCATGAACGGCTTAGCGTTTGTACGCAAATGCAAGGCTACGCGTGTCGCATACGGTTTTGTCTGCTGCTCGGCTGCGCGAGTGTGAGGGGCATCGGGGCGTTTTGCTTCTACCTCCCGAAAGTCGAACTCGGCCCCAAGCACTTACACTTAGGCACCGGATTGAGCTTCACACGGGATTGAGCTTCACCATAAGCTGCTTCGCATCTAAAACTTTGATTGATCTGTGGGGTTTAACGTCCCAAAACCACCATTTGATTATGAGAGACGCCGTAGTGGAGGGCTCCGGAAATTTTGACCACCTGGGTTTTTTTAACGTGCACCCAAATCTGAGTACACGGGCCTACAACATTTCCTCCTCCATCGGAAATGCAGCCGCCACAGCCGGGATTTGATCCCGCGACCTGCGGGTCGCATCTAAAACTTAGCATCTCTAGCAAATGCTCGGCGTTTGCAACAAAAGTTAGCTAAGTCGAACGCTATAGCTCCGCTGATGGTTCTAGTTTTTTAAGGCAAGCTGCACACTTTTGAAGGATGAAGGTCCTAAAGACCTAGCCTTGTCGGCGACCGTCATGCTACACAAAACCGAAACCGAACTGCTGCTCTACGAGAAACGAGAACATCTGCGTAAGAAACGGACTTTATGTGCGCATCAGTCAAGTACGAGTATATGACAGGACAATGCATCGCTTGCGTTGTCCGTCCGTCTGTCCGTGCGTTCCAGCATCTGTCTGTCCGTCCTTCTGTGCGTCCGTCGCTTCGTCTACCTGTCCGTCCTTTATACTTGTCGGTGATTTCAAGGTAGAGATTTGAGGATCTTCGGGCCTAGCTTGATCCACTCATCATTCACTTCGTATATATGCGTGGAGTTTTTTGTATATATATAATTGTAGATGCTTTGTTCTCTCGACCATGTGGCGTCAGACTGAACATTAACATCGTCGCCAGGGCTTTTAGGGCTAACTGAACTCGTTCGTCGTCGTGTAAAATGGAGCTCAGCGACCGTGGCAATATGCATATTCTAGGAACGTGAAACGTTCTCTCACGACGTTTGGTGATTCAAGCTTCGAGCTTTTTACGGCACATTCGAGGTGTAAGCAAGCAAATAAAGATTTATGTTTGGGCTATCGTCTTCATGACGCCACTGTTTGAGAGAGCTTTATTTCGCGCGTTTGCAAATTTATGGTCTCGGCGTGGCGTTTGCACCCGAGTTCAGCTGCGTACGGTTCGGCGAAACGCACAGCGCCTGCCACCGCCAGCCTACAAATCTTCATTCGCCCCTGACGTATGCAAAATAAACTCATCTCGAGTGGCACGGGTGTTCTTTGCGTCCGGCTTACTTGCGGTCAGGATACCTGGTGCTTCTAGCGGTAATACTCGGCCGCTTTGTACGAGGAAGTGACTATGTAGCGTGGATGGCTTTGCAGAAGGGGGAGGGGTATGATTAATGGTTGGGAAGATGGGGTTACCTGCCGGCGTAAGGTGGAGGACGCGCTTCTGAAGGGTACATTGCGTCGCGCGTTGGTTCTACGTACGCTTATATGCGCAGCTCTTTGTAGTTCGTGATTTTGAACAGATTGAAAAAAAAAAGGCCCAGCGCAAGAAACCGACGCAGACACAAGATGTACAAAAGAACACTCCGGAGCGCCGCTTTATTAAATACTTTTACTTATTCACCACACAATGTACAGGATAACGATATAAAGAAGGATGTCGTGTAGTGTAAACTGAAAACAGACCTCCTATGCAATATAAGCATATTTGATTCGCAAAATCAGTATATCAATGATAGTAAGATGTTAAAGTACAAATAACAAGATACAGGTACAATGAAGCGACGAGGTTATCATCAACTGTGTGTCATCGTGAATGTAAACTATCAGTATAAGAAAAGTAATGTATAACAATAAAAATGAAAAGAACAATTTGAGGAGAGAATGACAAGTCGATAAAAAATAGGCTATACAGAATGAATGCCACATAAGAAAAACTTTTTCAATTCATGGTGGAGTTTATGGATTTGGGGGATTTTTATTAGAAATAGTAGTAGATTCGAAAATGCAATAGCGGAAATGTGAATGGTTTCGTTTGCCATAATTAGTTCGCACTTGGGGCAGAATAAATCTATGCTGCGCGAAATTAGTTGGGTCAGTGTTAAGTAAAGACAATGAGATGCATTCATTAATTAATTTGAACGTAAAAGTTGCGTAATTGTACTATACAACAGCGGCAATATCGAAAATTTTATTTTCTTGTCTCAACTGTTTAGCATTGTATAGGGAGAGGAGCATTTTTATTTCACGGTGGTCTACTATTGTCTTGCTCATCTTATTCCTTTTTTTTTTTTTGCTTGGTTTTAACCTTTGTTTATGGACTCTCGCCTGTCCTTCTGATTCCTTGTTGCTGGTTAGTTTTAACTGTGAAGCCTAGTTGATTTTGCGCTGTCGTTTTGGGCGTCACGGTGCCCAGATTTTTTCAAGAAAACGTAACTGTGAATGCTTTATTATTTTTCTTTTCGTGTGATGTTCTGTGTGTTCATTTGTATTTGTTGTTTTTGGGAACAACTCGATGTTTTTATCCGTGGGCACAAGCAGCTTCGCAGCACTATTTGTTCAATCAATCACCTCGGGATTCGTGGGGAGTACGTGGATTTTACTCAAATTATTTACGATGGGCAAGGCTAAGTGTAACTTATGTGATAGATTATTACTGGGGCTAAATGTATGTGACAAAACATGTCACAACAGGAGTTCTTACATGTACAGTACCTTAATTGACGCACCTATTGGTAAATATTCGTTATAGATAAACTTTATAATGCATGATCGTGTATGATGTCCTGTGCGCTTAGCGTCACCCATTTATTGAAACCTTAATGTTGTTCTTGTAGATCGGAACATGACAATTTTGCATCTTATATAGGTTGATATTGCGATGAAAGACCAGCCTTTGAGGAGATTTTACGTAATTATTGACTGCATAATTTGAAGCTGTTGAAGAAGGAGTTTGCAATATTTAACACAGGACCGTGGGTTCGATCCCTGGCTGCGACGGCTACGTTTGACGGTGCACGTTTAGAATATTTAAAGACATCTTACTATGCCGCAGGTGTAGGAATTTAATATAGAGCCACTGTACACGATGTCCTCGGCTGTGCGTTTTTTAAACTTTAAACCTCACAAAATGACTGACAGCAGAGCTAGACGAAATGTCATTGTGTCTATCAACACGATAAATCGCGTTTGATTCGAAAATGCATCATTGCTGCGTTTTGATGTCCACGCACTGCCGGACGAAAGCGTAATCTTCGATTTTCCGTCACTTCTGTGAACGAATTTCTAGATACAGCTGCAAATTTTTGGCTGATAGTGAAAATCCATGTACCGCCCATCACACCCGCGCTTGGTGACTTCCACCAAGGCATGTTTATCGCGAAGAAAGGTGAATCCGAAAGGTGAATGTAGTGTAACCTACAGGTGGTGTCGGCATACTTATCAAGTCTTAAAATGTCCTCTATGCATGCTTAGTATGAAGCTCTCATTGTGTGATTTTCCGGGTGCTCCAACCCTGTGCCTTTCGTGGCACTCTTTCCCTTTTACTAACTGTCTGTGCCGTTACTCTCTCCCATTCTGCAACCCCTCCACCCTCTTCCTATTGGTCGAAACCTTCTCTCCCCCAGAGCAAGGAAGCTGGCATACGAACTTTAGTTGCTCTTGACGAACAAGGAGGTAAGGATTGATGCTTGTCACGTCACGCTCCGGATGGTGTGACGTCATGCTTTGGAGATTTTATTTGACCTGCACGCGAGCACTGCCACCTCTCCTGCTCCCAGATTTTCAATTTCCTTTATATAGTTATAGTGAAGCACATATATGATTATTTGCCTGTGCCATACTTGTGTTGCTGCTATGTCTGTAGCCCCTTTGGTGGCGTAGTGTTTTTTTTTAATTTGTTTATCATGTTGAAGTTCGCACCTTTTGTTCCATTACTTCATTGCATGCCGCCAGTGGGTGCTTGCGTGGTGCGGTATTTATCTCTTTTATTATTATTTAATATTGATCGGGTTTCATTCCGCTTTTCTGTCTGAAACAAAATTGGCCAACCCTCCGCGCAAGAACTACAATTTGCGGTATTCGGCCGCTCAACAAGTACGGCTCTTGCATTTTCTTTTTATTACGAGCGCTGCTGCCTGGCGTTGGGCGCCATCTTGTAGTACTTTGCACCGCCGGCGTCTGTGAATTCAACATGAGTCGATGCTAGTCTAATAAACGTTTGAATCAGCCGAACATACACATATAAGCATATCTATCTGCAGAGGCACTTGCAGATTGCGTCTTCTTGCCGGAGAGCCATTCTGCAGGCCGACCTCTACTACCTTGTCGTATCAGGCTGGATTTATTAAATTCTCGCGATGGAGCCTGTTGCAATTTGAAATCGAAAGGAAGTCCTACGCACTACGCAAGCTCGATCACTGCGGCGAACGCTGTAGTTTTGTAGTTCGCGCCTTCTCATTTCTGCGTTTCCTTCTTTTTCTTTTTTTTCTTATCTTTTCATGGTTCCCAATCGCCGTACCTTGGTTCATCCTGCGCTGTGCTGCACCGCCGTTGATTACCTCTGCGCACCGGACCTGCACCGCGCCTGTCACATCAATGCACGCCTGTTTCGCCCCGGCCGTATCTTTTGTTTCTTTTATTTGGTTATTTCGTTTATCACCACTGGGATTACGCCAATGTGCTTTCCCGCCCATGCGTCGCAATCGGCACCTGCTTCGGTGGATGCACCCGTGGCTTTGTTTTGGCGTATTTTTTTTGGACCATTTTTTTTTCAATGTCTGCATGGCTTTTGGAACATCGCTTTCCCAAACACCGCTACGTTTTGAATGTATTTGTGACGTTTGAAAATCGGGTTGTGCAATTCTGCTTTGTCCCGTGAAATTACAATGCTGCGGTTGAAAACTGCACCTCCACGCACTGGCTTGGAACTTTTTGTGTGTGTGTGTGTGTGTGTGTGTGTGTGTGTGTGTGTGTGTGTGTGTGTGTGTGTGTGTGCGTCATGCAATATCGTATGCCGCATACATTAGGCACAGGACGCTGGTGTCAAAACTATTGTAGAACTTGACAAGCAAGGCGGTAAGGGCTACTGACAACATTGCAGTCGCAACAACGCGCCAGCTTTTTGGATAATAGACTGTCACAGTTCTAATGACTAGCGTTGCGTCACGCTGTATGATGGGGACCTCAACCTCAATGAGCGTAATACTATTCGTTCACTGTCGCTTAAGGCGCGTTCACACCGAGCGCGGAGCCCGCAAGGATGTCCAGCAATCTGGGATATCAACTAAAGCGGCAAAGCCGACCCCAAGGGGAAGCGCTGAGCCTATAACGCTATGCGGAGCGTTAGCCCCAGCGTGCTTTAAAAAACGATTACTGAGCATAACCTGATTTTTCGCAAATTGCACCTCAGGCACTTAATGCTGACAACGTTCTTATGCTGTACAACGCGATAAGTTTTAGTTCGCCGGCTGGATTTTTTTCCAAGACACTTTTTTATTAATTGAAAATGTATGGCGTGATTTTTGAAAAGCTAATTGTAGGGCAACGATACGTTATTCCCTGATTGCACTCTAGTGGCATGTGCGGTATGACAACTTGTCTTTGTGTTTGCATTGTCGTGTAGTTACGCAGGATTTTTTTTTTCCCTTAAGAGCTTTCCCAAATCGATAGTGCTGAAAAGCAGCATGGCAGGTGTAAAAGAATCGCCTGTCGGTTAATCTATGAGAAAGGGGACGTTGATCATAGTAAAACCGCACCAAAAGTCTGCAGATGTGTTCAGACCGATCGCTTTCTCCGTGGCGGGAACGAGGTGATCCACCAATTCACGGAACTATACTATACTATACTATACTATACTATACTATACTATACTATACTATACTATACTGCGCCCATGCGTTTAGGGCGCTGATTGGATGCGGCCAAAGCGGCCACGTTTTCGCTCGGAGAAAATCGGTCCAGGCGCGATCCCGAGAAGCGGCCGCGGATTTTCCGCTTTGGCGGATAATCTGCGTCCGCTTTACGCATCCGCCTCTCCGCTTTCCGGATCCGCGCTCGGTGTGAACGTGCTTTTAATGTATCCACTTTGCGTCAAACGTCACGTTAAGCGTGGCGCAGGATTAGGATATCGCGGCAAGCTGTACTGGGTAATTTCCAGTAAACCGTAGTCCTATCAAAACAGATAAGTGTGCGCAGTCGACATGCGACGTTTATTGTTTAGAAAAAAATTTATTGCCACAAACGTCAATAACACTCAACAGAACATTTCCTTCTTAGACATACTCTAACGATGATGACAAAACAGACGTCATTTACATGAAAATGGATATGAGATGACGTTGAAAGAACATGTTCATTCGATGGTTCACACAAACTGTAGCGCGAAAGAAATAAATCAAAGAATCCAAAAAGAGAGAGACTGAGAATTTATTGGAATGCTGAGAGGTCGGCATGAGCTAGTTCGCTCTAGCCTGCTACTCTACACAGGGGATAAGGGAATGGGTAAGGAAAGAGGAATGAAGGGTGATGATGGGGACAAGAAGAAAGTGAAGTCATTCACAGAACGAGTGGTAAAAAAGTGACCTGGGCGATATAACCACAGGTCGCTCAAGAGCAAGTTCTATTGAACTACAGCGAATAATATTATGATCTGTGAGGCTTGCAGGGACAATTTTATATCCACCATAGTGCTGCTATATTTTTTTCTTTCGGCTTCCTAATATAACCTGCGAATCTCGTGCGCACAAAACTCATAGCTTCACATAAACTCTGTGTTTTCATGACGACGATGAAGCACCCTAAGCGTCTTTTGATGCACTTACTCTTGCGTTACACTTAAGTAGCATTATCATTGTGCTCTTGGATGACTATCCTAACGAATCATTCGCTCAATACTGCTGGGAAGCGTTAATGTCACTAAAGGGCCTAGCCTGCACAGCTCTCTTCATCTTGCGGGAATGTATTTTATTCTGCACTTACCTTGCGGAAAATTTCAATGCGTAGAGTGTACAATGTCACGCTTAAGAGATCAGCCCGTCGGCTAGTGCTGGCGCGTATATATGCGTGACGCCTGGCGCGCGATGCCTTGTTGCCGCGCCTGCGCAGAGCAACTGGACCGCATCGAAGAAGACATGGACAAAATCAACGCCGACATGAAAGAGGCCGAGAAGAACCTCACGGGTATGGAGAAGTGCTGTGGAATCTGCGTCTGTCCTTGCCAGAAGTGAGTATTTCCTCCTCCTTTGCGTCGTGCTTAGAGTTCTCTACTATGTACTATTGGTGTCGCACGGAACGTGAACAGCAACAAGCGTTAGCCGTTCAGCTTTCGTCACCTTGGACATGCGCAGTGCTGCCAAACCGGTGTGCTGCACACCTGTCGGTGGTGATGGCTGTGACGCCATACCGTTGATAATGCTTGTCGCCGTTCACGTTTCATTTGACGCCGCTAATGTTCGTGTTTTGTCGTGCTCTTTTTCTTCAAGCTTATGAAGAAGGAGGAATGAAAAGTGTTGCCTTGGGCGGCACTCCTCATAGCGTACACTGAGTAACTTTCCAGCGGGTAGTGGTGTTTCATTCGTTTTTTTTTTCAGACTTTTTTACTTTTATACCATACATTTGTATAGTCGCCTGTGGTTTTCTTTATTGTTGGCGAACAACGTCGCACTCAAACTCGGGGGATCTGGTTTGATACCTGGCAGCGGCCGCTGGTTACGACATGCAGATAACACCTGTGTACTCAAAAATTTAGGCTCCCCAGGTTGTGTATATTAATTCGTAATCCTCCTTTACTACACGCCTCAGAGTCGAATCGCTGTTGTGCCACGTGAAGGTGAAAATAAATCTAACCCCCGTATTGACAAAAGCTCCTCGACTCGACTTTCACCCTTCGCTTGACAGAGTTGAGTACTGCGCCACTACTCTGCTGATAATTAAGTTGCGCTACTCAAGAATCGCAGCTGATTATGACTTCCCGTGCCTAGAGATGGCGCTTCCATCTGTTTTAAGTGTGAATACACTTTATAAGCGACCCCAAACCATCCACCGCCGTCGGCGGTGTCCGCAGTCTTCTCTCTATCTTTAAAAGAAAGAGGACTTGGCGGGCCGCAGCGCGACGCTCTACCGAATAAGCCACGGACGCGACGCTGATATCGGTGTCAGTAATGCGCCTTATACCCCCTCCCCCTTCGCTCGCTCCTCCGCTCTCCTCGCTCGCTGCAGCTGCGCGCGCACCCCTCTCTCTTGCGCGCTCGCCTTCTCTCTCAGTCTCCCGTCGAGAGCGGGTCGTGAGGGGGAGTAAAGATAAAATCCGTTGGCATTCGCCAGTGAGTTAACGTAAACTCCCCCGTGTGATCAAATTGCGATTCCCAGGAACCATTACACCATAAAGTCACCATAGTGTGATTAATAAATATAATAGTGCGAATTAATAAATACCCCTCATAGCATCACCCCGTGTATTCGCACTTAACCTTGTTCACCCTCGGGGAAATGCTTGGGAGTTTTTTTCTCAAGTGAAAGTGAAGCTTGAGTGTAGGGACATTTCCAGAATACGGTGGTTAAGCTATTCTCGAGTCAGGGAGATTCGAGGCCCGCCTTTTTTAAGTGGCTCTGGACTCTAGCCGTTCTTATCAACGTCGCTCTGGGCCGCGAATAGTCACGATCATTGGATATTTAATATTAGCCGCGCCGTAATATGCATGTACAAGTCGTCTGAAAGAATATACTCTATATGTGTAGAATGTTGAATGTTCCGTGCTCTCGCAACGATATCGTGCCGCTACCGCTTACGCTAGAACTCTAATTCCCATAGCGTCGTTGCCGCCACTGTGCTCCAGTCGATAACCTTCGCAGTCCGTTTTATTTGGCACGTGCAGGAGAGAAAATAATTGATAAAAGAAAAAAACCTTTGCGATATTTAGCATTTTTGTAAGAAAAGCACCATCAGCACGCACTATTTCGCATATGTATGGTTGCCTAATATCTATGAAAGCTCCGTAGACCTTTAGCAAGTGCCGTGCTTGTATAGGCATTCATGTGTTCATTGACCCTCGTGCATGTATTCACACTCCGCTTAAATACGTGACGTTTTAAAATGTAAAATTTTGGTAGTGATAGCGTGGGACCGTCTCAGAGGGGTCTCTTGCCGGAGACTGTCGCAACACCGCGCCTCTGCGCCACGAGGGTTTTATTTGCGTATGTCGAAAGATGCCTATATAATGAACATTGAGACTCGAAATTTTTTTTTTCGCGATCGCTGCTTATAGCGTGCTCGAATCGACTTCATCACCTACTCTGGACACGCGCAGTTCGGGCTGATGCAGTCGCGCCCCCTTATTACTATACGGTGACCTTTTGAAGTATTCTCACTGCTGCACGTGTTTTTTTTTTTTTCTGGAAGTGGAGGAATGACCCGCGTTTCGCTCTTTTTCAACCGCGCCAAAGAACGCATCGATATGCAACTCGATATAGCTGAAACCGCTGCAAAAATGCAGCGTACTCTTTTGTGCATCGATGCGACTATGTTGGACTTCTTTTCGCATTTAAGTGTTGCCCAACTGCGTAACCGTTCAGCGTGCATTGCAGACCCTTCATCGCCCTATGCAAACCACGACCCGCGGCCATTTAGAACTTTTCTTTCGGTGCCACACTTGAACAAAAAAAAGAGTATGAACTAGCGTCTGTATAGAGACACGTTTGCAAGAGTTCCACGTTACTGATACGCGTATACTTAACCCTTATATTCAACAGCTCAGTCATTCAAAAAATAGAAGTGAATGGAGGCTTGGTGGTGGGATCGAATGACCTATCGCATGTACTTAGGTATATCTTTCCACGCTGAAAGACATATATCACGTCACAAACACAAGTGACTTTTATACTTGCATTCTGTATTTAGGTACTTCTCTTTCTTTGTTTAGGCAGGGTGATGACCTCTTACTGTCAGCAGTGACCCAGTTGGTTTTCCTTTGCTCTCTCTCTCTCTCTTTCTTTTTTTATTGCTTGGCAAGCAAAGCACCGTCTTGCAAACTTAAGTGCACTACAGCTCGATCAGAGGTTCAGTATACTGTGGTTAGCATGGTCACAGACTTAACCCATATTAGGCTTGTGGCGCGGTCGTAGAGGGCCTTCAATACGACTCATTCGATGAATATTTAACGTCCTTAGGCCGAAGGCTTTGTATGTTAGTCATGGGCCGTTAGGCCTCAGGCCTGCTTACTTAGTTCTCATATGTAAGATGTCTGCAAGAAAGCCACTGTTGGTAGGATCGTGATTGCGTACAGTAGCCGATTAACGCGTTTCAAGTATCCGCTGCGGGTCGCACAGTGTCTTAGAAGACAACCGAATCTTTGGGTTAGGTCTAAGGCCGAGTTTTAGGTCGTTTAGGCGCAAGACCCGCATACTCAGTAGCCCTACAAGACGTCTGCAAAAGACTCGTTCTCTATCGAATAGTGGTCGCGGTCACGCCACTGTGGCGAATATATAGCGTAAGCGTACGCAAATTTAGCGCTGCCGATCGGGATCATTTGCATAACGTTATGCACGGTCTTGATATGGACCCGTATGTTTGTTCCCGATGACAAAGTAAACAGTGGAGCCGAGTCCTTTCGGCATTGGATGACCATCTGAAGTATCTGCGCGATCTCTTTTTCGGAGTGGTTTTATCTAAAAAGAACTATATATGAAATGAAAAGACGCAGGGGGTCAATAAATAGAGAGAGCAGCTGGCGAAAGAAATGTTCTGGTCAGATTTGCACTAAATGACCTCAATGTAGCCCCCCAAAATATTGTCATCTGCGGCCTCGAAAAATATTTGCGCTGATGTGATGTGATCGTTTCGAGCACGCTATGCGCTTTTATGTTATTGTCGCAGCCGCGTGCCCCGATGTTGTCCTTTTTCTCCTACCTTCGCGATGCCGGGGGGCACGCCTATTCACGATATTTTTATGCCTTTTTTGTTGCACGTTGTAACGGTGTAATTTGATGAGGGCACGTGTCTGAACCCCCGTAGAGTCAAGATAGATTATTTCTGATCCCTATTTATACTACATGCAGTGCGTCGTCTATTTCTATGCTTCACATTCGTTGGTCTACACGTGCCGTACGTTTGGTGAATTTGTGCGTTTTGTGATGCCTCTCGGAGTATTGTCGGAGAAAACACACGTGCACCTCGTCCAGAATGGGTGGTGAGGGCTGACGGACCCGAGTGCGCAAACGTGTTTGTGGCCTGTCTACTTTCATATTGCTGCCTGTATACGTATTTGCACGGTGATATGCATCGAAGTGCTTTAGCTTGAATGGAACATACGCCACGTGGACGAGGAAACGGCAGCGAAGAGATGAGACCGATTAAGAAGAACCAGGGTGGGGGCCAGTGGTACGTGGCGTCTAAACTCATTGCGTGCTATACAATGAAAGAAAATCGACGAACGAAGAATGAAACGTGACAACGATTTTCTTTTATTGTGGTGCGCAAAAAGTTTACACGAGATTGTGTATACTTAAGTTAGTCTCGTTCCATGATCGTCGAAAAACACCCCACTCTTCTGATGTTTCGTGTGTGGCTTTGTAAATGGCACGTGCCACCACCGTAATTATATAGCCTCGTTTCATACATACCATGCAACGCTGTATAGAGTCTAGTATTTTTGTTAGGTCGCGGTTTAAATTATTTGTTGGAGCCAGCAAACTATATGCCAAACGTTTTCGCTTATTTTTTATAGCTAGTAATTTTCTCGGCATTTGAGAATGCAGCGATTATTAATTATGATCTTGATTAAAGTGCTGACAGAACCAAGAAACTAGACTTGCTACAGCTTTATTCGTGACCCGCGTTCCCAACAACAAACAGTTTGATGGCTTTAGCAATGAATACACTGAATTGTTCTTTGTGTCCTCAGTAATGCTGGTATACGATTTGCTACATTCGAAAGAATTCGTCTACGTTAGGAAGTTGTTAGTACGCTGTTTTGCGACTTTGATTTCCAGTTAAATGGAGGAAGTGATTATACTTGGATATTCATGCTGGTGCCTTGCACTGGTTGCATACCAGCTGTCGTTTTCGTAGATCGTTGATTATTTGTTGAACATGTGCTTGTTTAACTGCTGTTTTGTTTCTATTTCAGTTCAGGAATGCTTTTCTGATTTTTTGTTGTTTTGGTGTGTTTCTTATTTATTTCAATATTAGTTTCAGCAGCAGTGTTTTGTTTCTTGTTTATTTTATTTCTAGTGCCACTGATTTCTCTTTTGTTCTTCCTTTTGTTCTTTTCCCCACCCCCATGCCCTCCTCTCTTTCTCTTATTCTTCATACCCCGATCTTCATTTTTATATTCTTACTTGTATCACTAACTTCCTGCACTTCTACGCAATTTACTGGCCGCCACCTCGTAACGTTGTATCCTTGCCATTTTAAATTCCATCACCAATCGACCTCCCCTTCATTCTAAATTAATTTTTTAACGCTTTCACGTTCGTAAATGTGGATTTATTGCAGCCCCATTGATGTGTACGTCCTCATTCTATTATTATATTTAAACATCTCAACACCAACATCGATTGGCAGCTGTTAATCATACAGTCCGAAAACTTTGTAAAGAAACAGGAACCATCACTTCGCTTTTTGATCTGTCTGGTTTCGTTCCCGGTTGCGTCGATTTATCGTGGGTTTGGTGCAATTAGAACTCCTGTCGCACTTATCGGACTTTCTCGGAAATACGGTGTAGCGACCCCTCTCCGTCCGTTCCTTTTGCGCTTGTCGGGGTCCTTTGTTGAACCCTGTCACTTGCATGGAGATCCAACTCGGTTGGCTGCCTGCCTAGACCGCGGATCTGGCTTGCAAATTTTATGCCCAGTTAACGAGCTCTCCGGCTGGATTAGTTCGTATCCCGCCCGTCTGGGGGCGGTGGGGCGCTGAGGGTGAATTCTTTGTCCGGCAGATTAAGCGTCGCTCCGACGCGTATCTCTGGTTGCTTCTTTCTTTGCTTACCTTTCTTTCAAGTGACGAAAAAACGAAACGCGATGCTAATGAAAGCCTCAAGCTTTTGTTGCGATTTAAATTACGACAAAGAGCGATTAATCAGAGTGGCTCTCTGGAAAAGTTGATCTGTTGGGTTTCGTTTCGTCGCTCGCCTCGTTGTCGTTTATTCCGCAGCTGGTCGAAGCGGTCCCGCTTGTTGCCACTGTGGTCTCCATATAGTATCGCGTTGTACAGGTACCTGCTTTGTACGTCGTTCGGACTTTCCGTATCATGGTTGTTTTCTTGTCAGACTCTTGGATTCTGAGATAGCCAATCGGCCTTTTAAAGGGCCACTCACGAACCCGTGGTGAAGGATGAGGGGTTGTTGTTTTCTCCTCTCCTTCGCTTCCCTTCGCACAAGCGATGCATTCTGTTCGCCCCTCAAGTTCTTAAGGCCACATGAGCAATGTCGGCACTAAGCGCTAGAACCTATCAGGATTTCTCGCTTCTCGGCTGAACGCATCAAAGAAGTGTGGTGGTGGTGGTGGAAGTGGTTAGAAGAGGAAGAAGGCACCTAATTTCTGCAGCCCGGTGGGGAGCATGGCGCAGTGCCTCAAACAAGTGTAAACGGTTGATCCTGCTCTATATTCGTGCAAGACTGAGAAGAACGCCTGGGTGGCTGCATGGAACAGCAGTGCAGAAAACAAATCACATTTGATATTTCGCGTAAATGGACCAATCGAGAGTATGTACACCATTGACATCACACGGGAACTTCTGTCTGCGTCACAGAAGTGCGCGCGAGGAAGAAATTAATATCGTGACAGAATATTACGCTCTTTTTTGTATTTTGAGAGCTTAGTGAGTGACACTTTAAAAGAACAAATCAGTGCTCCAGAGGCCCACAAAGCGGAGAAAAGTTTATGTAAGTCGCCGTCCTCTGCAGGCAGGAAAATGAAGAGAACAAGCTTCTAAACTGCGATGCTTTGTAGTGTCATTAAACAAAAAAAATTTTCCTCTGTGCTGCGTCTCTTTTAGATCCGAGAGTCCTCTTTACGAGTTTCATGCCACTTTGTCTGATAGCTAAGGTGTTCTCCTTTATCTGCGCAGCATTCGCACAATTCAGACTTGTAAGGTTACTTCATGCTATTTTTTTTTCTCGTGGAATAGGTATAAAATACCTATTCCACGGAAGCGTGCCCCAACGATACTGAATACGGAGTTATTTTTGTATCGCACTCCGGTTGTTGATGGCGTGGGCATAATTGAAGAACGTGTAGCTTTCTTTTTCTTTTAATCTGGAAAAGCGACGTTTAGACGTGGCCAAGTTCGGTAATGTGAGGTTATGCCCCTTTGCTGCAGTGTCCGCTTCTACTATAAAATATCTTCAACTCCTTTGTCAATATGTACATAGATTGGTGTCATGGCTCTTGATATTTTAAAACAGGGGAGTGTTTAATGCCGAGCTTTGCCTGTAATATAGCGACGACACTTTCGTCACGAAAATCACTTCAGCAAAAGCGCGTGTCAGATTTCTAGCACATGCATGGGATATCGCTCAGTTGATTTGCGATGAGAGAGACTATTTATTTATTTTTTGCTTGATTCCACTTGCGGTGTCCTGACGTCATTTCCGTCTCGGAAATCACGTCGGTACCGTACTTCAAGTAATTTTCGTTACTCAAAGTAAAAAAAAAACGCCAGTGGAAGCGCCTGCCAGATTTGCGGCACGTGCCCTGTATATCGCTCAGATAAGTTCTCTTAATACGCATTTTTTTTTTTCTACTTGCGGTATCTTGGTTGACCTCCCGTTTTCACGCCATTTACTTTTATATTCTGGCTAGGGCATATTTTTTTTAGAAAAGGTTTCGTTGGAAACGATCGCCCATGTCACAGATGATAATGCACCAACGCATTAAGTGGGCGGAAGGTGCCGCTGAAGACATAAGACATCGTGTAGGCCTTTAAGTGTTGCGTCGAGGAGGAAAGCACCAAGGGGAGTTGCCGTATGTAGATTCTAAAAGAGCGCCTTTTATAGGTCTCCCTCAACATTTTGCATTGCACACCGTGGAACTGGATATACGCACTTCTATTTGTTGACATCCAGCAAAGTCCTGCTCACTTCTGCGAAGACACGTTTAACATTCTTTCTGTGCGAGTCCCCATGAAAAAAGCGATCAACAAAGAAGCACATCAGCCTTAGTTCATTTTTTTTTTTTCCCTGGATGTTTCGTTCGCTTTTCTCAATTCCACCGAGAGCCTTCTTTTTCTTCCCCGACTTTCGCGCTGTTATTACTGGGCATGAATTGCTTACGTACCTGTTTCTTTTAAACCGAACCGGGCTGCTTCCCACAAATGCCAGCATTGATGATGCGGGATCCTTTTTCTTTTTTACTATGCGTATATGAAGTAGTAAAAAGCAGCACCAGTATAGCCAGCGAACGCAAAGGTTGCAGTCACTGACCGCGCCTCGTGCTTTCGTAAGCGTTCTATACATCGTTTTGCTTTCTTCTGGTTTGTTGTCTGGAACCAACAGTTTTCGCCTTTATGTGTCCCCAGGGTGTCATTTGAACAACGGCCATGATTTTTCTTTCCCTTTTATACTTTTTTTTCTCGCTCAGTTTATTCGATACTATTGTCACTGGTAGAACCGGAAGAAGTTACAAAGTTTTCTTTTCCCCAGGCGCATACAGGTGCTATCGCAAGTTTCGCTACAGGTAAATTTTCGCCATGAATATTCTTCTTCTGCTCTTTTTGATTTTCCCTCTATCCGAGCATCGCGTCTCCGCAAAAGTCTTTATGTCTACCATTATATTCAAAAAAGGCTTCTTTTATTTATATATCCGATGGTATTGATCCGTTTCTCCTAATCGCGCTGGCGTGATGGCTTTATTAACTTCGTCGCTAATTGTTAGAGGTACCATGTATCACTCGCATATATAGTACCGTACTTACTCAATGGTAAGGCGCGTCCGTTACTTCACAACGCCGCAGATCAACGTGTTGGTTGTGGCGAGCAGTACTTAAGGGGATGTTGCTTACATTACCAGTGAATAAACAGTGGTACGATCTACCTTTCTGCTTTTGTTTTTTTAACGCGAAATTGCTATATTCCGGGATCCACGAAGACTACAGTGACGTATTTCCGTCATGGATGTGACGTCGCAAAATTCACGCTATTAAATGGGCATGGAAAAACGTTCACAAAAAGGTTCCCTCCACCGGGCGTCAAACCTCTCACTCTTTGGCAAGAGACAATGGCACAGTGTTATGCCGACTAATCTATTGACTTAGTTGTTAAACTCCATACGAACGCGCCTCGGGGTAGTGCCGCCATCTGTGAGCAACACAATTGAACGTTAATTTTCCCAACTAGTCACAGTAGCGTATTTTGATCCATCTAAAGGCGTAGCGTAATGCCAGATAGTGTTTGGCTTAGTTGCCGCCACGTCACGTTGTGCCAACGGCGGAAATAAAAAAAACACAGCAAACGCGTGGTTTACGTCCTCCGAGATTACAGACGCGGCCCAGGCCGCTCGCCAAGCTTACAGCATCTATTATTTGACTATAACTAGCAAAAACGGAGCCGAATCGACACAAATAGTGTGTCGCGAAAACTTAAGGACATGAGTCGGAAGGAATTAAAAGCATCAAGTCTGAGATAACGAACTACAAAACGTGTGATAGTAACTTGGTAGATTTGAGGTGTACATCAACTGCTTTCGGTGGTGCGGCCATGTTTTCTGGGCGTGTGCATGCGTAGTCAACAGTCGGTATTTCAGTATACGTAAATCATTTTGCCTATAGTGTAATACCGGATAGATAAAAACATGCTCTAATTAATTCGGAGCCCGAAACTTTGCCGTGCCTTGTATTCATACTTTTCGGTTTCGTCACGCGAATCCCTACAGCACAATCTGAATCTTTTAACTCTTCGAGTTTTCGTTATCTTTGCCGTATATTTACGCCCTAATCAAGCTTGGTTTGTTCTTCCTTAATAAAATTATTCCCACATTTCCTAGGCACCCTTGTTACTTCGTGTGGGGCGCCATTGTTTAACGGCCTCTTCATTAGAACGACCGTATTTTTCAACGCGAATGCAATTGTTTACCTAGTGTGAGCGTCAGTGGCGCCCCCTTAGGGCATTCTACGGCGTTCCCCCGTATTGTCGCAGTCGCCTGGGAGTAACCACTTCGGTTTCGAGCAAGTCCCTCGAGAAACAGGGTCCGAAGTTTTGCTCGAAACGAGGTGTTGACACACACAAAAAAAAAATCATGACGTAGAATATAAGGGCCAGAAGATCTTGCGTGTAGTTTTTTTTTTTTTTTGCGCTCTCGTTTCAAGCATGAACCAAGTGGCACAACATCGCATTATACGCTCAAGCTTTTGTTTCCTGATTGGAAGGAGTTATAGGTGGTGTTGTTCCTGCACGCGCACTCTAATGATTGCCCGGAATTTCCAGGGCGGCGATTGTCTGTGCGTGCGCGCAACTCAAGCGATCGATGGTTGCATCTTGATTGGAGGGTTCCCACGTGCATTGTTCCGCGAAA